ATAAGTAGTTAATACTAATTAAAAACGAATATTTAAATAGGATCTTTATCTTTTTATAAGTTATAAAAACTTATAATATAGTATTTAGGGTTTTATATTTTTTTAAATAATAAATACGTATATAAAAAAGCATAGCTATTTATAAAATTTAATAAGATATAAAATATATAATAATTATAATTAATAATAAAACTCGTTTTTAAATATAAATATAAAAACTAAGAATAGACTTAGAAACTACTCCTCTATATATAAAAAAACTAAATAGAGAAGGGGAACGAGCTAGTTAAAAAATTATTAATAAAGCGATTAATATAATATTAATAACTAGCTTATTAAACGAACTCTAAATAAAAACTATATTAATTATAACTTACTTATATAATATTAGCCCTAAGTAACGTACTAACTAGTTATTATTAATTTAAACTAAAAAATTTAGTTTACTTATTATTTTAAATAATAATAATTAATAAATATATTAAAACTTATTTATAATCTACGTCCTTATTAAAAATAAACGTATATATATAACTATAGAGCGTATTTTTTTAAAAAGAATTATAAAAAAAGAATTAATAAAAAACGTTTTAAAATAAAGTAGAGGGGATATATCGGGTACTTTATAAATTACGTAACGAACGCCTATAATTTATATAAAATCTAAATCCCCTTACTTTTAGAAATTATTATTATTTAAAATATAATATTTAATAAAATAGCTTTTTATTTAAAAAATAATATTAAAACCGTAATTTATTTATTTAAGTTAAGGGCCGTAGTAAATAAGATTTAATAGCCATTTATAATAATTAAACTTAAGTTCTAATTACTTAGAATTATAAATAAAAAAGAGGTTATATTAATTAATAATAAAAAGTAGCTATTATTACTTATACTCGTTTTATAAAAAGTAAATAAGGCTATAAATAAGCTTAGTTTATTTTTAAATAAATAAAGTAAATAACTACTTATCCTTAAACTAACCTTAAATTTTAAAAATCCGGAGTTAAAAACGAACCTTATTTAGTTAATTAAGTTAATAAGCGAGGTTATAAAAGAAATCGATCCTTTTATTAAGAAAATTAAAAATATAATATATATATAAATAAAAATAAAGACTTCTTAGAGCTTTTATAAAAAGGATTTTTTTATTTAATTAGACTTTAATAAACTCCTTTAATAAGCAAGTTTATATTAAAAAATAAGAATAATAAACGACCTAGTTAATAACTTTAATATAATTAATATATATAGCTAAGAAGAGGATAAGTATATTAAATAAAATTAGAAATTAAAAAACTAATTTTTAAAAATATTTATTTAAAACCCGAGTTAATAAAAGCAATTTAAGTAATATTCTTTTTATATTTAAGTAAAAAAAGACTAAGACTCCTTTTTTAATACGTATATACTTAATTAATAAAAAGTAGTTAATAAAGTAACTTAGGGATATTAGATATTATATTATTATATTTATATTATAATTAGTAAAACGAAGTACGTTTTATTAACTATAATCTAATTTAACTAAATTTATATAAATTAATTAATTACTTTTCTAAAAAAGTAAAAGAATATTCTTAAAATACTAGAACTTTTAAAAAGTTAATTTATAGAGGTAGTATAGTTAGAAATTTAGAAATTAAAAAAATAAATACTTAAAAAGTAGTTAATAAGGCGTTAGTTATTTCTAAACTAATACTTTTTAAATAGGTATTTAATTATAAACTTAACAATAATAATTATTTTAATTATTATAAAGCGAGAATTTATATTAAGGGGGATTTTTAAAAACGATACTCCCTAAAAAAGACTTATATAATAACGCTAATTATTAAAATATTTAAAATAGTTATAACTATTACTACTTAATTTAATTTAAAAATTTATTAATATAATATTATAAACGCTTTTTTAAATATAATTAAGAAACTAAGTAACCCCCCTATTATTTATAAATTTCTAAATAGCTTTTATAAACTAAGAATATATATAAAACTCGAGCGGGCCCTATATAGTACTTATAACGTTCCGCTATTATAATACGAAGAGCTAGTATTAACTTTTAAAAATTTAAGTTTTTTATTTATAAATAAGGACTTATACCTATTTTAAGACTTTATTAAAAAGGTCTTAGTTTTTTTTTATATAAATAATATCTTCGTTCTTTATTATAAAAACTACGTTTACGAGGCTAGTTAAGTAACTAAGGGACTTAAAAAGAAATATAAAATAAAAAACTAAGGGCTAGTTTCGTAGTATTTTAAAATAAAAATTGTTTATAATTAACTAAATAAAAAAATTTACTTAGCTTATAATTAGTATTTTAAAAAAGTAGTTAAGAAGTTCGATTTTACTAATTTTACTATTCTTATAACCCTATTATTAATAGTTTTAATTAAAAAAAACTTAGGGATTATATTTCTAAACAAAACTAAGTTTTTTTAAAAAAAGGTTAGTTTAATATTATATATAATAATTATAATTCGGCCTAACGTTACTTTTATATACGCTCTACTTTTTTAGTTCTTAATAAACCTATTTTATTAATATTATTTTATTATAAATTAGGTTATACAATACCTTTTTTATATATAATACTTAGTAATATATTTTAAGATCTTAGGGAGTAACTAAGTATTATTAATTATAAGCAACGCTTTATTTATAAATAATAAAAAGACCTAAAAATCTTTATAAAGTTTTATAATCTCCCTTTTTAATAACCTCGTTTAATAAAAAGTAGCTCGTTAAAATATAATAATTACGTTAATTATAAAGGCTAAACTATTAAGCTTAAAATATATAGCTAAGGAAATACTCGTTTTTAAATACTTTTTTAAAAATATTTTACTCGAGCTTAGTAATATATAAAAAGTATATTATGATAATTATTAAATAATTAAACTCGTAATAAAAAAAGAGGAACGTATTTTAACTTACTTACGCTACGTTAATATTTAAAATATATAGTTATAATAAAAGTATATAAAAAGCATATTTTAAGTAGTTTATATATTAATAAATAAAATACTAACTAATAGTTTTATAAAAAACCTTTTTAAAATAAAGTTTAAGTACTTCGTATTACTTTTAAATATAAAAAATATATAAGAAATAATTATATTAAATAAGGGGATATTTAAAAAGTAATAAAACGGCCTAGAGGGCCCGGTTTTTAATTAAAAAACGTAGTTTATAGCTAAGGAGTATAAAGTTATTTTAATAACCTTATTAAGTTATTTAAAAAGAGGCTATTTATTTAAAAAAAATAAGTACGAATTTATTTAAAAAAGATTTAAACGCGGGCTATATATTTAAAAAAATATATAAACTAATAAAAATATTAATTCCGATTTAAATATTATTTATTTTTATAAGCGAAGTAGTTAATATTATTATATTTTTAATAAGTTCTTTTAATAACGCTTCTAATATAAAGAGAGCGCTTATAAACGCCTTTTTTATTAAAACTTTATTTATATAAACCCCCTTATTTTTATTTTTATTTAAAAAATTATTATACTTAAGGGCCTTACGTAACACTACTATTATATAAGTTAGGGATTATATATTAAATTATAAATAATAAATAAAACGAGAATAGTTAAGAACTTATTTTATAAAATATAAGTAGTTTTATACTTATAACTATAGCTACCGCTACTTATTTTATTAATACTTATTTAAAATATAAGAACTTTATACTTAGGTCCTATATATACTTTTTAAAAATAGGGGTATAACTTATTTTTTTATAAGTTTAGTAGCGTTAATATTTATTATTAATACGCGAACTTAAAAAGTACGTATTATCCGAACGGTTACTAAGGGCGCTTTTAATATACTTAAAGTATTCGTAACTAAACGGAGGAAGTAAAAGTACTAATTTATATTAAACTTTAATATTAAAAATAGTACTAAAAAGGTTTATTATTAAAAATTAGTTTTATAAATAACGATAAATAAAAAAATATTATGTATATAATTAATTATTTTATATTTTTTAAAAAGAGGTAAGGGAGGGGGTTATAAACTTATTTTATTATTCTAATCCCCCTAAAAAAAGTTTTTTTTTTTTTTTATTTAAAAAAAAGTAAAAAAAGAGGCTATAAACCCTCTTTATTTATATTATCCTCTTAAAAAATAAAAACTTCTTTTTAACTTTTAAAAAGGAATAAAAAAGGGGGCTATAAACCCTCCTCGCTTTTATTATTTTTTTAAATAACTTATTTAGTTATAAAGCCGTTACTTATTAAATAAAATAATTAAATTAATATTAAATAAACGAGGCTATATTATTAATTAAAAAATAAAATAAAAAAATATTACTTATCCTTTATAAGCTCGTTATTAGGGCTAAAAAAGCTATTATTTTTTTTAAAGCTATAACTTTATATTTACGCTTCTTAACCTCTCGCACTATAATAATATAAATATAGTTTTTAACTATTTATTTTAATAATATTTAAATAAAAACAATATTATTAATAAAAATCTTTTTTTAATAATATATATATATAAAAATATAAATATAGAGGTAAAAAGTAAGGGTATATACGTATAATAGTAATATAAGTATAGGTTAAAAAGGAAAAAAAAGTTAGTACTATGGGTAGCGGTAAGAAATTTATATATTTATTATTCTTAATTTATAAGTTAATTATTTAGCTAATAAAAGGCCGTCTCTTAATTATACTTTTTATTAATAATATAGCTTTAAAATTACTTATAATAACGAATATAGAAGTTAATTTATAGCTAATTTACCTCTTATTTATAACTTTATACATAAACCGATTTATTTTATAATTCTTTTTATAAATAAATTCTTATATATTAATATTTAGTTTTTTATTTTTAATAAACCTATTTATAATAATATAAGTAATTAAACACGCTTTTTTTAAACGTATATTTATTTAGGGGGGTATATTATAATAATTTTAACTATTTATAGCTTTATTATATATTATATAACTTTAATTATATAATTACTAAGGCCTATTTTACTTATACCCTCTATATTAGAGCGAGCTTTGAGCCTATTTTTTATTTTTAATAAATAACCGTTCTCTTTATATACGTCGATACCCCTATAGTGACTCTACGACAGTTAATGTACTTGTTAGCGGTTTCGGCGGGGTGTTGCAGCACCGCGATAATGCCCTTAGCGAGGAAAGCAAGCGACGTCGCCGAGACCTTTTGGTTTCCGGAGTCGAAGATTGTGATGCTCTTGTTCTCGAGTGAAATACCGTAGATTCCTCGGGTGATGCTCTGTTAGGAAGTGGTTAATTACACTTTCAGAGATTCAGACAATTTGATCTGTCGATGGCGAGGACTTACCCAGTCGAAGAAAAGACTTGTTCCAATACCAGTCCAGGTGAAGCTTGGGTTAGCCTCCGCTTTCTCGATCAAATAGTCGACAGCGGCCGTTTTGGACTTGAGCCAGTCGCCAAGGATCTCGCCCTCCAAGGTGCGCGTGTTGAGGCCATACTCGGACGGGATGAAGCGCTTCACACCGGCAGCGATAGCCGCATCGATGAGCGGGTCTTGTGAACCAGGGACGATGACAGCGACAGTGGAGATGGCAGAGATGACGGCATCCTGACCTGCGAAGGCGGCCGTGAGGGACTCAACAGACGACAGGTCTGCCTTGCGGACGGCGACGCCAGATGGGAATGTTGCGGTGGAAGCTTCGCGGGAGATAGCCGTTACTTCAAATCCCTTTTCCAGGAGGGCTTTGACGACTCGCAGACCAACGAGGCCGGATGCCTAGATTCAGTTGTGAGCTTCGGTCTCATTTCGCTGTGTTGTCGAATCACTACTTACACCAACGACGGCAACTGTTTTGATGGACATTTTGAATAGTATTTGATATTGATCGACGAATAGAGCGCAACAGAAACCCGAGAGAGCGAAGACTTCGCATGCAAGGCACCAGATCTAGCTATTTATACGTGAAGATAGAACTTACAAACAAGGGGATTTCTGCCCCTCCAACCCCTCCATCCCCGTCATGAACTCTAAGGTTTGCGCCATCTGGCATGCCGGTTCTGGTTCCGCGGAGTGCAACCCTACGCGGGGGCTCTATATTCAAGCTTCCCCGAACACAAAAAATAGTGACACTTTCGCAGCGATACCCACGCAGTTGCCCTTGCATCATTTTAGATCGACGATATGCCGCTGGTGGCCCTGGCAGAGCCTGGCAAGGTGGCATGAGACCCCATATAGTCCTTGTTTATGGGTCGAAGCCCGGGTGTCCTTGCCGGGTAGCAATGGCGAGTCAGGGCACCCGGCTCCCACTTTGTGCAACCTGTTATCTAGACGGCTCCCACTCCTCACTTTCCACCGTCCATTAATACGGAGTAGGTACTTGAATAACTTGGCACACACTTCCATAGCCCTCGGTTTCTCCAGGCGGTTCCTTCGCCATCGGGACTGGCCGTCTGCGGTACCTGACGGCAGCACCGTGACAGGGGGTTTCCGACATTCCGCACCTGGATATGCTTGAAGATAAACTGCCGCAGCTGCGAGCCGAACATGGGTCACGGCTGCGGCCCGGAAAGAGATTTAGCTCCGTGGAGTCCATTGCTACTGTGACGTAGCTGGCAGTCGCACTGCCGGCCCATCTCACGAGATCTTTCGTCTCTTCAACTTGACAGCTTTGAGAACAGGACTCAATTGGGCTTGAGCCACCTATATCAAAAAGTGGCAATCTCGTCGTCTAAGAACCCCATGACCAAATCACATTACTCGTAGATCAGGTATCGGAAATGAGTGATGATATCTCTGTATAACTTTTTACATGTAACTAATCATATGTACAACACAGCCAAGGAGGCATCTCAAACCGCCTTGTTCAGCTTCCAGCCACCAGCAAACCCGCGCGAAATGCAAATCGTGACACCGCTAGCCGCAAGGCAACATCCCGACCAGATCCAACCGCTCAAGTATCCATGCGACCTGGACAGCGCACCAGCAATGGGCGATCCGAACAGGAGTGCCACCGACATGACAGTAAATGCCATGCCAAATCTGGTGCCCATGTAACTTTTGTCAGCTGTAAGCTTGACGAACGTAGTCGGCTGCAAGCCGAAGAATGTTCCGCTGAAGAAGCCGTACACCACAGTGACGGCAATGAGTGAAGCCTGGCTGTTCGTCGCCGCGAAGCAGAAGGCGGCAATCGACATGACGAAGACGGCGCTAGCAATCATGTTCATGATGCCAATGTAGGGTGCAAAGAAGTTGGGGATGATGCGCCCAACAATAGAAGCGCCGTTGAGCATCGAGAGGAGGTAGAGCGCGACATTCTCGCTGGCCATGTGGTTCTCGAGGGCGTAGCTCTGCACATAGACGTACGGCGTGTACATGCCCAGGAAGAGCAGACAGCAGGCGCCGAGGAAGAGAAGGAACGGGAGGTCGTGAAAGACGGACTTGTCGACGAGCGGTCGCCGCTTGAGAGGGATCTTGAGCTTCGATGTCTTGATGACGAGGTTGGCTACGCCGAGCGTCACAAGCGCGATGAGCGCGAAGACGAGGACTGTCCATCGGAAGCCGATCTTAGGTTGGATTGCTCGGAACATTGCTGGTAGGACGAGACTGCGCACAATGTTAGTCGACTCTAGACTCTAGGCTCTCGCTCAAAGCGACACTTACCCGCCAACACCGCTACCGTTGGCCGCGATGCCATTGGCAAGCGCGAGCCTAGTAGAGAACCATTGCGATGGGAGTGCGACGCCTAGCGTAGACAGACATCCGGTTCCCAGGCCGATGATGAGACCCTGGCAGAGTAGGAACTGCCACAGGTTCTGGCAGAAGGCTTGGAGGATAAGCCCGATCAGCACCAGGATGGATCCTACCACCAGCAGGTATCGTGAGTAGCCCAGGTCGTAAATTGGGCCGATGATGAAACCCAAGAAGACCATCAGGAAGTTCTGCAGGGAACCAATTGTCGAGATCTCAAAGGCAGTGTTGTTTTTCAGGAGATCAGACTGGTAGTAGGCCTGAAAGGCGCCGAAGCTCGAGATGAGACCTGGAACGATACCCGGTCAGCGAACCACATTCCAAGAGGAGGTTGTCCCATGTTGGCGTTGCCGCTGCAACATCTCACGATGGTTGCATCGCGTAAAACGCGAGTCTAAAGATCGATCTTGCTTACCCCATGTGTTAAAGTAGATGAAGAAAGACCCAAGGATGTGGAGCCATGCTTGCAAACCACCGTCTGGAGGTCCAGCAGGGGTTGTTGTTGACTTCTCTGCAGTAGGCGATGCTTGAGACGATGATGTCGGAGGGCTGTCGTTACTGCTTGTGTTGTCTGTCGCAATAACGGAGGTATCTATCGCGGCTTCGCGTGTGCTGGCGTCCTTCTCCTGGTCCCTTGGACTCTCATTCGAAGTTGAAGCCATTGTCGACTGAGCAAATCATCCGAACCCAGATCCGTCCTATGTTAGCGGCTCAGGGCGGGATGCCAAAGTCTATCCCGGCTTCAAATGATCAGAAAGATTGCGATAACCGCCTTATCAGTGCGCCAATGTGACAAAGTAGAGAACGAAAGAAAGTTTAAGTGATTGAAAGGGGGTGTGTGAGTTAGCATCAATTGGACAATGCAGGGTCTCAGTCGAGAAACGCGGTTCGGCAGTAGGCAAAATACTCCCGAGCCACGTCTTCTTACGCTCATCTAAGCAAAAAATTGCGTTGTCAAAGGCCCCTTTTTTCATGGGTTGTGGGGAAATTTTTTGCCTTGGAATTTTTCTTCTTATTCAATCGACTGACAAGATGAGCCGATGGTCTTGTATTGATTCAACCCACTTCCCTGTTCTCAATGCAACCCTTTATTGTTGATGTGATCGGGTCCCCCGACAGTACCCGCTCCGCACCGCGGCACCTGCAGGAGATCACATCTACAATATTAGATGTGGCGCCTCGGTATGGCATCGGAACAAAACCGTCTTAAATTCTTCCTTGGGAATGGATAATCTTCAAGTTAACAACAGATGCCCTAGGTGTTAGGTTCTACCAAACTTGCACTCCGTATTAATCAATAGCATCGCTTGACACGGCATCTATGAGACTCAATTCACTCCTCCCATCTTCTCTCAGATGGATGGCCAAAAAGATTGAGAACGTGCTGGCGAAAGCGAGACCTCGGCCGGTGCCCGGGAAGGATCATCAGAGGTGCGGAATTCAAACCGGCGACAGCGCCAGTTTAGGCAGGCTAGCTCACTGATCTGCCGCGCGCGTCGGGTCGCCACTGGGGCAGAGTCCAGGGTTATGCTGGCCAGAATGCAACGGGTTTGACAACCTGCCAAAATGGGCTGACAACCCATCCACAGATCCAGCGGGATAGTTTTGCCCATTTCGGGTCAGAAACTGGGGCCGGATCTGACCATGTTTCGGCCGATCTCCATTGACCGTTGGTCGTGCGTTTTCGGCACTGACCGTTGACTGCTCGAGATTGTCGTAACCAAATTGAGATGGTATTGAAGAAATGACGTACGGTCATCACTATCCGTCGTGTTGTTTAGGTTCAAAGTAACCATGGTTGCCATGGAAGCTGGGCCGAACAACACCTTTTCTGAAAGTGCTCTGCTCAGCCCTGCACTATCGTCATTTAGGGGAGGAGGGACTGGTATTGGCTGTTCTGACTAGGGTGTCTATTGCACGGACGCGACAACCCGAGGGTTCATGTTAACAAGGGCGAGCACTTCACGCGCCCATTCCAAGAGCTCAATCTTGCGCACTATAACAAGAACTGGCGGCAATATTTAACGATCGCAACGGCTATCCACCATCCTCATATCTTGATATGTCACAATGCAAGCGTATCATCAGATTTGCCGGAAACTCTTGTTTAGTGGCGCCACGCATAGAATGCAGATTGACCGGGCACTTCGAGAGGAATCTTGATGGAATGAATTCGGTCTAGAATAATTAATCCCCAAAATTCCTCGCCAGTGAGATAATGAGCGCAAAGCGACCTGTCATCGTTCATGGTCGAGAAGCTTCTAGAATTCTCAACCTCATTGTGCTTACGCCCTAAGCTTGATCTGGATCCTATGGCAACTACACTCTCCTTGGCGACAAGGTTCCGCGACCTGAAATACCTCGTGTTGCTACTAGAAAGGAATGTTCCAGTAGAAAGAGACAGGATTTACGCTGTATGGTTGGACGCCCTCAAGATTTCCTCCGTAGTCAATTGCTAGGTTAGCAAACATGTTCAAGTTGAGATGACAGTCAAAGGGCGTCGCTTAAGCAGGCACCAACGTCTTACAACTTCTGTAGGCTTCTCCAGCGGCTTGGTTCGCTCTAGGGGCGGGGAACTAAGACCACATCATTATGATTATCACTCAACAGATGTTTTGGAAGAACAGCTGGCAAGTGTAAACAACAGGCCCTCAGGATGATCCGCGGATACACATAAGTAAGTGAGCTTATCATGGATCCGAGAGTTCGGGAAATAAAAGAACAAGGAAGTATTATCATTCAGCAAAGACACAACCTTCCAATCTTCACGACTTTCAGAATCATTATACAATGTCTTCAACATCAGTTTTATCGAAGACGCTTCAGTCCATCACCAGTACTAAGATTCGCGAGTTGGAGAAGCAACGAACTCAGTACGAAAACCGCAAGGCCAAAATCCTCCAAGAGGCCGAAGAACACATCAACCAGGGCGACCGTATCAGCTGCTTGCTTCGAGGGGTCAAGGAACTTTACGCAAAAGGACGCGACGACAATCCTAGCATCGACAATATCGACAACTTACTGGCTCAGTCCAAATATGACACGTCAGTGCCTCCGTCAATGTTGCAGTCATCTGAGGACCTGTTGAGGTCTAAGCTTGACGTACAAAGCCATAAGCTTAGCATGGCTCACTTGTACTCCCGACTTGTTACCGAGTGGATCAATCCTGGAAGTCCCATGGAGGGTTCCGACGCCGCCAAATTGTCAAAGGAGGACTCCTCTTTCGAGGTCATCGACCAGGAACAAGAGCGTCTTCAGAACCTCCGTGACCAGTTCGAGAAGGTGGTGTTCACACCATTGGAGACTGACGAGTCGGAGATCAACGCGTATCTGGCAAGTCTCTTCAAGACGAGGGAGAGTGAAAGGGCGCTTGAGGACGTGCGGCAACGGACCGCGCGAGCGAGCGTGGACTTTCTCAAGAGGCGGAACCCGTTCAACACGACCACGCTGAAGATGTGCATTGCCAGCCTCCTCCAGCAGGATCTCTTAAGCGATGAGAAACAGGCTATCTTACGCGAGTTCGAGTCCAACAATGTTGTTCTACGGGAGATCGCGGACGTCCTTAACACAAGGTTCGTCGATTTCGAGAACTGGGAGTGGGACGCCGGCGAGGAGGGAGTATCGTACGTTCCGCGCCAGCAAGCCAACGGCAAGTACCGCATTTGGATGGACGAAGATGTACTGCAGGCTATCTTCATTCACTGGGTCGGTATCAACAGCTGCGTGAGCTTGAAGCGGACCCTCACAGACCTTGTTTCTCTGGACGGGACCGACCAAGTCTGGAGGTGGCACGCTGAGCCATCCATGACTGAGAGGCAGATCCAGCGGCGAGCCTATTATCTCAGCGAACTTCCCACCCTGGTTCTTGATGAATCCTCGCATTCAGCAACAACGAGATGGCCTAGGGGAGGTACCAGGGGGCGCGGAAGAGGTGGAAGGGGAGCATCTTTCCGGACTACCCAACGTCGACCTGCAATCTCTGATGATACGGTTGCAGGTCTTCGCAGGAAGAATTTCATTGATCACTTTTGCCTCGCCGCCCTGCCGAGCCAGGTAAACACGCTCAACGAGGAGATGTACGACGATGGAAGAATGTCAGAAGAGGAGGACGACGATGATGTTTCCTCGTCTGAATGGGGAAAGGCCAAGAAACCGGTCCTGAACATCAAGCAATTTCTTTTGCGCACGCTTGCAACTGAGACGATGCTTCATCAAGCGCTTGATGGCACAGCTGCCGCGTTGCAGTCTGATCTCAAGTGGTTCGGGGCCGGCCTGTCCCACACGTCAATCTTTGCCGTCCTCCGCTTCTTTGGGTTCCCGGATAACATGCTTGCGTTCTACCGGAAGGTTCTTGAGATGCCGGTGAACCTAGGCTCCATTTCGTCTTCCGAGTCAGAGTCCACATCAAACGCACCGCGCATCAGGCGCAGGGGTATGCCGATGAGTCGATCGCCAGCAAAACTCATCGGCGAGTTGGTCTTGTTCGTGATGGACTTTGCCGTCAACCAAGAGACAGGGCTACAACTATACCGCCTGCATGACGACCTTTGGGTTGCAGGCAGTCCTGCGGACACTGCTAGGGCATGGGCTACCATGCAGCACTTCGCCAAGGTTATGGGGTTGGAGTTCAACATGAAGAAGACTGGCTCGGTGTACTTGACCAATGAAGGAGTTCCTCGAGATGAAGCTCTTGATGAGCAGTTGCCTAAGGGTCCTGTCAGCATCGGCCACCTCGTGCTCGACCATAAGGCTGGAAAGTGGATCATCGACCAGGCGAACGTCGCGGAGCACGTGAAGCAGCTTCAGAAACAACTTGCCGAGTGTCGAAGCATCCTCGACTGGGTACGCACGTGGAACAGCTGCATCGGCCGCTTTTTCGGTCAGGCGTTTGGAGAGCCGGCCTATTGCTTGGGCAGGGAGCACGTGGAGAGCGTCTTACGAACCTACCAGAAGATGCAGCACGACATTTTTGCGCCATATTTAGCTGGCACCGGCGACGAGTCGATTGCCGGCGCGGCGAACAGCCAACTCAGTGCAGTTCACTACATCAAGTCCAAGATCGAGCAGCGTTTTGGTGTCTCGGATGTGTCGGACGCCTTCATCTTCTTTCCCGACCAACTAGGTGGCTTGGGACTCCAAAACCAGTTCATACCATTTCTTAAGGTCCAGAAACACCTGTGTGGAATAGGGGTATCACCAGAAGAGATGATTCAGAGCTTTTTCGACCGAGAACGCAATGACTACGAGGACAAGAAGAGCACCTTCATGTCGAACAAGGCCACTGAGGCGCGTGAGCTAGGGGATGAGCCCCTCAGCCGATTCGACGCGCAATTCCTCAGCCCAGAGGACTTGGAGACGTTCTTCACCTACGATGAATTCACCAAAAACAGAAGTACCACGAGCAGTCACTTGAAAGAACTCTACGAGCGTGTTCAGGGGACCCCAGCCGTGCTCGGCCCCAAGGCTGACCGGCAAGTTTATCAGGCATTGGAGGACTTGCCCATCCAATCGGCCAATTTACGGTCTGAGCTGAGATGGGTGGTCCAGATGTATCATCAGGAGGCGAAAGAGCGATTCGATGGTCTTAGGCTCATTGAGGAGCGATTCCTGCCGCTGGGTGTCGTTGACATGATGAGGCAGAAGGCCGTGAGATGGGGTTTGGTTCTTTAACATACTGTGCACAGAAGTAGTCAATGAGGCATAGATGGCGTAAAATCCCTGTTACAGTATACTGTGATTTGCATCGCGTGCATGGGGCTTTTTGACTGCTAGTCTCACGAATATTTGAACTCGCCTAGCTGAGTATATTCACAAACGTCTTCAATGTTCGCCCTTGACCTCAATATCGACCATCAAATGGACCAATAACTTTGCGAGTCTCGCCTTCGGCTTTTATTAGTAGTGAATGTGGTATTGTGTGGCCCCAAACAACACTAAGCCCACATACGACTAAGATGAGGGAATTGTATGAGTATGCAGTGATTCAGGAGCCTTACTGAACTTGTATATAAGTCACGAGCTATTCTTCAACGAGGAGTTGGACTCCTCATTTTACACCACTACTCAGGTTGAGCAAGTCCCACTAAATCGCCCAAGTAGGTACATGTCCTTCTCAAACGCGGAAAGACGCAGTCATTACAAGCGAGAACGAGAATCGACTCCGGCCAAGTCAACGCATTTACGCATACTTGATTCAAGTAAATCGCAACACAACAAATCATGTGCAAGCCAAAGCACATCACAACTCCATTCATGGACGGGTCATTGCTTCCGGCGGCAGAAGACCGACATCGGCGACAGCGCCTACGCGCCAGAGGGCCCAACAATATTCGCCCGCCTAGATCAGTTTGATAGTTTCAACTGCCTTGGAACAAGAGTGCCGCTGAAGAGGGGAATGGGTGAGAATGGGAGAAGCCCGTAGCAATGGACCTCTCATACTCCGGTATTGGCGATGTTGCGAAGTAATAGTGATCAATTCGTGGATTGGAATCTTTCAGGTCGCATCTCTCCAATATGGTAGCGGCATCCCCCTTTCAATTAGACACATTCTGATGTTCATAATAGAAGTCGAAATTGAGCGGCAACTCGCTGACTCTGCTTACTTCATGCCAGTGACATTGCCATTTGCGGGGTGTATCATAGACGTATTTCATCAAGACCGGTGGATCACATGGGTTCCATCACTACAATCGTTCAGGCTAGTAAGTTTGATATGTTATTATTGACTTCTATGCAAGCTTGTAGTCATATTGTCGACCCATTGTTCTAATTACTTCCTTGGGTCCCAATTAGCATCAACATTATCAAGGAGGTTCATAGCCTTGATCACATCGGCCCCCAGAATCTTCTCCAGGCTCACTAGCTTAAAGCTAGCTTCGGTACTGGTACTACCGTCAGGCAGTTGATTGGCATCATCGTGAGTAACGAATAATCCGTGAGGGAAGTCCTTTCCAAGATGTGTCCCGACCGCGGTGATGCCATCGGTATTCGAAACCGCATCAATCTGTCCATCCGACGACTTGGGAATTGTGAAAGTTGTCACATAGTAGTGTGGATCGGCTCGAGTATACACGTTGTAAGAACTGACGCCCTGATTAGACACGAGGATGTATCCTTGATCAGGTTTTACGCCGTAGACGAGGTTAACGCCCTCCACGTCGGCGAAGGTCTGGCCGTCGCCTACAAAGGCAATTTGAATGGCATCATCGTCGGAAGAATCGGGCTCGGCACCATAACGCCACAGGGCAGAGGGCTCTTCGCCGAGGAAGATCCAGCCATTCTCCTCGTCCGTTACACATCCCTCAACCTGGCCGCCTGAACCCCCTGTAAAGTCACGAACGAGAGTGGCCTGGAGAGTGCCATTCGAGTTGGACGTCAGCTCATATTGTAGATAGCGAGCAGACTTTTCGTTGACAAAGAGATATTGCTTGCCGCTGGTGGGAGACTTGTACACGCAGGAACCATAGACTTTGTAGTCCTCCGGGACAGGCTGAATGCCGCCGGGGATGTCTTTCAGGGTTCCATTCGAGGTCATCTCGAAAAGACTGCAAATGTGTCAGTGTAAGGTGTTTCAGGCGACTTGAAATACTCAACTCACCAAAGCGTATCATCGCCACGGCAGGCAGCGAAAGCGAGATCGACAGTCCTGTTCCCAGCCTGGAAGCCATAGATCATATCGACGTTGTTGGGCTCCGCCGCCGGCAGGGTTTGGAGCAGCTTGCCCTTCAGATCGAAAACACCCAAGCCGGCACCCTCAGTGGACTTGGTCGTAGTAATGATGCGGGACTTATCGGCTGATTCCGGCGAGATCCAAATGGCGGGATCATCTCCGTCGCCGCCATTTTGGTCAGTTTCGTAGGAAGCCTCGACTAAGACAGCCGAGCAGAACAGTCCTCCCCATCCATTCTCGCATTTGCACTGTTGCGGCCCAATACACTCGCCATGTCCAGAGCAATCCTTCGTGCACTGGACCTGATCGCACTTGTCGCCGGTGAAGCCAGCGAAGCAGCCACATCCTAGGGCATTCTCTTGACAGTAGCCGTTGCTCGAGCAGGCGTCGCAGATCGGAGAACGGTCGCGGGATCCAGTTGCGTTCCGAGGATCATACGCGGTGTTGGCTTCTATCCCGAGATCATCGAGAGCACTATCCAATGACACCACTCCAAATCCAGCGACGTTGTCTGCTTCGACAGCAAAGCCAAGAGCGCCGCTAGGGTGCTTTGAACTTGAGCCCTGATAGATACTGAGGCCCTGGACTTCGATATCCTCGAGGCCATTAAGCTTGATATTGCCGACAAGATCGAATGGGTACTTGTAGACAGCAATGCTCCTTTCTTGAGCGACAAACAGGTAGTCAGTGCCGGTGGAATTTGAGACATATGTTGCAATACCAGTCACATCTTCCGCAGCCTCGCCAAGCTTGGTGATTTCTGGGGCAATGGTCGATTCCTTGAGATCGAAGACGTAAACATCCTTGTCATCGTCGGCATTAACGACCATTTTAGCCTGTGATTGTACCACAGCACAGCCGGAGAACTCTGTTGGGACTGGGATGCTTTGAACCTGTTTGAAGTTTCAGTCAGTGAGAAATGAGTTGAGGAGCTGGAACCGGGCTTTCTCACCTCCACCAGTTCAATGGAGTCCTTGGTCGGGCGGACCACATACTGTACTACCACACTCTTGCCGAAGAGAAAGACGTAGTCGTTCAGACTGTTGGTTCGCCACGAGCACATGGCTGCCCAGTCTCCAAGCATGGTCACTTGGGCTGACTCAATTTCCTTGAATCCTGGCATCTCGTAGACGCGAATTATGGAGTCCGGCATCGCAATAGTAACCGCATAGTCTTTCCCCGTGACATTGTAGACTGTCGTGATGATCTTTGTTCGGCCAGTGATCATGGACTTGACCTCGGACAGTGGCGAATCGCTGTTCAGATCCCACGCGTGAAAGCCTCCCGTCGCAGCACCTCCATCGTTTCCTAGCAGTAGAGGCTTCTCTTTGGAGTAGAACATGTTTGTCCAATCGGCTTCGAGTTCGCCACCAGTCAGGGCTGTGATATTGGCCTCGACGTCGGCGGCCGTGGCTAGCCAGGGATGCATCGCGACCGCGGCTATTGCCGCGGCGCATGCGAGATATCTGAGGCCCATGGCGGTTGGGTCAAGTCGATAGAGGTCTGCCTGACATGGCAAGACGTGCAAACTGAAGGCTCGCCTTGTGAGGAGGAACAGTCCATTTATCATGTCGTCTCATTGCCTGCCCCCTCCAAGCGGGCGGGCAGCGGAGGAGCGGGCAGCCCTACGCCTACAGGGCCGGGATGGCAATGCAAGTTCAGCCCCTCCAGGTCCCCTTCAGGGATGAGAGACTAGGCTGCGACCTTTTACCGAATCTGCTTTCAGTTTGGCAATTTGATGGACGATGTCTGCGTCAATACTGCGGGTGGTGGAACACTGATGGTTCCCTTCGGGTGAAACGCGTGCATGAAAGGGGGAAAACAATTGGTGGACGCGATGGGACGAAGAATATTGGAGCTTCCACTTTTGGAGTCGTCCGTCTTGGCATTGGAACACCATTAATCCAAGGTGAAGTCACAGGTCCGAACGAGGAGCTGGTTGAGAGAAACTCGACTTTTGATTCTGTCAGAAAAGTTAAATGCCATGCATCCCACTACCCGCTATACTTTAATTGTACGGTGACATCGGGGGGAACTTCCGAGGCCGACATTCGGTTTCCGCTTTCTGTCCTTCGCAACTTCACAATTGGCTCGTGTTCAAGGCTGGGCCGATTTAACGCGCTCGGGTCTCGTCGCGGGCTTCAGACGCCAAGTTCCAACTTGTCATCATTTGTTTTGACTTCTCGATTTATGTGAAATGTGACTGGACGCAGCTTGGCCAAATCAACCATCGTCTCATGTCTCGGGCAAATGACGATGAACTTCAAGAGCGCATGCAAGTAGGATGGATTTGCCGCGGTTTCTTTCACCTTATCAGATGAGCACCGACAGCGTGCGTTTTCTTGCGGCTTGTGATTGGGAAGTACTAATAGTCCGTTTCTTGAACTTTTCTGACTTGCGCTCCCTTGTCCTTCCCAGACACGAAAGTCGACTGAAAAGTCGTCGACATTATATAATCGTTACCAATATAAAGTAGCATCAATGCGGGTAATTCAATGCTTCTAATAGTGGCCAAAATAAGACAGACAAGACGGTATCTTCACATAAATCGCAGAACAGTGAGATCGGATTAGAGTAAACATCATTCAATACCCTAACGAGCTACTCGAGGTTCGAAATGCAGTACATTGAAGGAGAGTAAGTAAGAAAATCCATCAAGATAAATGCCGCAAGCCTGGACAGCGGCGTCGCCGAAGAGCTATATCTTCCAAGTATATATCTCAAAGGCGTGAATCCACATGTAAGAGCATCAGCCAACAGTAGCTCCAGTTACGATCAGAATAGTATGTCTTACCTAAAGGATATACCCGACCAAAGGCTACATCACGTCGTATCTCAAAGCCCCCTTCGAGACATCTTTCTCCCCGGCATGACTTTTAGGCACTAAATTCTCTCCTAGATTTCGGAGGCCTGGGTTAGATTAAATCAAGCAGACTAAATCAAAATTAGGCATCTACCTCACCTGGCTTCTCTAGTAGGATGATCACCACGGCATGAGCCA